TAACATGCATTTTATGTTGATTTAAACCAGTGGTGAATTGCTCAGCAGGTCTATTCCAGTCTGTAGAGAGAAAAGCCGAATTCATGTTTCCATTCAGTAAGCGCCATCAGAATCAGATAAGATTAGTGATTGATCATGGTTTAAGCAAATGCCAGGAGCTGGAGTGCTAATGTCGTTGGGTAGGTGCATTGTATTTTTCCTTTGGGCCTAAACTGGAAAACAGATATTGGACACTGCTGTAACCAATAACCAGGAGGGAGCAAGTTTTCCTCATCTTGCAGAGGAGTGGGATTGGATGTACCCTACATGTTAGCTGTCCAAGTGTGTTACTATCTGGAGTACGGAGGAGAAAAAAAAAAGAAAGAGAGAGATACCAGGAGTCTGCCAAGGAAAACCTGCCCAATGACAGCCTTTGGATTGTTGCAGCAGTGTATTACAGACCTGTGTATGCAGTACACTCCCATCCAGAGGCTGAGAAACAAGCATTCAAGTGAAACTCGAAATTCAGTAAAGGTCAAATCCAGGACAGACTTAGTGACCCAAAAGATCGAGCAATGATCTGCTGAGCATGTCACCAGCTTAGACACAGTAAATAAAAACAACACCCTTGCTTTAACTTCAACCATTGCAGATTGCAAGTGCCTGTTAATCTTTAAACAGGCATGTTCTTCTTAGAGAAGGAAACTTGGGGAGAAGTTCCCTTGTAACACAAAAGGTATTAGGCAAATGAATTTTAATGGTTTAGTTGGGTAGTTACAAGTCGTGGCAGGTGAAGAATAGTGGGGATTTTAATGATACAGATGCTTCCCAATAGAGTTGGGACACTGTCCAGTGATTAAAGCTCAACTGGCTCACCAACAAAAGCTGTTCCCACCTCCCAAATGGAGCTGATAGGTACTTCATCCTCATGTCATAGACTTCCTTCTAACAGGCACAAGCCCAGAGTGTGATGAATATTCTCCACGTGTCTGAAGTGGAAGTCTAACATTCAAGCAGCACACACCATCCAGACCAAAGCAACTCACTTCATTGTTACTGTATTCACTATCTCCCTTCAGTGTCCACTATCTACCAGGTACTCATTGAAGTAACCTTGAAGGGTACTTCAACAAAAATTCTAAACCAATACATCCTACCATTTTGGAAGGGCATGGGTACACTACTACTTGGAGAAAGGGGCCATATCATTTCCCATACCAGCTTGATTTGAAACTATTTCTTCACCTTCATTAGGTCAAATGAAACCTTACGGCATTCCAGGTACCTTGTGCACACACCAACAAGTCACACGAAAGAGCAATGATCTACTGAAATATTGTGAATGTAGAAAGCCAAATAGTCCACAACTGAGGCCTACTTAATGCCAGTCACAGACTGGCTTCTCTGAGCATGACTATTTATAGTCAATCACTGCCATAGTTCTCCATTGTAGAATCAAAACTGGCATGATATACTTATTTGGGATCAGGAGAAAACTAAGGATAATCAAGACACTTGAAAATATCACAAAGAAGAAAGTGATTAGCCAATGGGCAAATGCAACTCCCAACTCTTTCTACAATCAGATAGAGTTTTGGGAATTCTAGGGAAAGAAATGACAATTTCTGCCAGACAAAGGCCTGCAAGTGAATTGTGAAATAACTCAGAAAACTTCACCCTCTATCACTGAAGATCAACTGGGGCATGATTTTCTTGTACATCAGTATCATATCCCATTGTTATGATAACATCACATTTATCCTGAAGGGATTTTTAGGTCAGAGCTACAAAATTCAAATCTACAAAAGAGTGTCAAGTTAATTAGAAACAAGGAAAACAGTGCACTTCAGCGTTATAGATTGAATTCTCAACCCAGACACCACTCACCAAAGACTGATAGAGATAGGAAGCAGTGAGCTCCACATTAATCTGTTTGTTGACAGCAGCTTCACAATCCTGGTGATAGTTTTGCCAAATCTGGGAGGCCATGGTGTGATGAACAGTATTTCCTACTCCTCCCCACAACAATTCACAACCCAAACACAAATTTATCAGTCAAACCAACTTTACACAAAACATCAGAACCTTTGGACTTGATTTATACTTCAGGAGCAGACCCTCATTTTATTAAGCAGGAAATGACATCATCAGTGATTGCCAATCACTCTTGATCAGCTGCCATGTCCAATCAGTGCAGAATGGGGATTGGATCCAGAAGCCGATCAGAATTGACAACTGGTTGATGATGGACCCTTGAACTCCTGCACAAGTGCAATTTCTGTAAGTATTTCTACATGAACATGAGAATAAAATATACTCTAAAACTTCACTTTTGTATCTGAGGTTATGTGTTAAGACACGCTCATCACAGATTTGCAGAATTCAGTCAGTTTGTTACTCTGAGGGATTAGTCATTGTACTTTTTGAATGATAATGTTGGAGCTCATTGAAAAATGGCTACATGTTGTTGACAGTAAACATTTTCCTATTGCTATTCAGCAACTAAAATAATGTGGTTTTGGACCATCTAATACAGGCAACTGATGTACTTTGTGGATCCATTCTGAATCTGCTGTGATCTCCTTGACCTCAGGGCTCAGGAAGCCCAGTTTGAAAAGCAAAATGTTAAATGTGCTAAGTGACTCTTCTACATAGTAGGCCTCAAGCCTCTATGTTCAGGTTTCTGCTGGAAATGTATCACACATTCAACATTTCTGTCTCCATGTACGGTTTTTAATTATCTGAAGTAGAACTAGCCGTCAACTCCAGCATGTTTCCAAATGGAGAGTTTCTGGTGCTGTTTACATTGCATTCTGTAGAATGTACAGCTCAGCAACTGTGTTGAATTGAACAGCCTCCCATGGACTGGTGGCCTGTGAGGCTTTGGGAATTGAAGATCCCCACTCAATGTTAGAGCATGATCACAGCACTGACATATAGATTGGTGGAAGCAAGTTACTTTTACTCAATATCTGCTTCAAATACCAGGTTGCAGTCTTGTCCTAACTTGTTGGTTTGAATGACAAGTTTGAATATTATACATAAACCATGGTCAGAGGTCAATCCTTATGAATACTCATGGCTATAAGAGCAAGTCGGAGGCAGTTTTGGAAACGTGGTCAGCATGGACAGGTTGGGCAAAAGGTCAGTTTCTGTAATGAATGAATCAATGAATCAATGACTCCATTAATTAGCAACAGTGTGTTCCTGTTTTTGTTACTTTAGGATGGCATGGTATCTTAATGGTTAGCACTACTGCCTCACAGTGCCAGGGACATGGGTTCAATTCCAGTCATGGGCGACTGTCTGTGTGGAGTTTGCACATTCTCCCCGTATCTGCGGGAGTTTCCTCCCACAGTTGAGAGATGTGCAGTTCAGGTGGATGATCTGTGGGAAACACAGGGTTAAGAGGATGGGGTAAGTCTGAGCAGGATGCTGTTTGGAGGATCAATGCCTCTTCCTGCACGATGGGGATTCTATAGCCAAGACTTAAGATTGTTTAAAATGAAAGGCTTTACGTGATGGAACAAATACGTTCAGGGCCTGAAAGACTCTCAGCCTCCATGAAGACTCCAGTGTGCACTCACTGCAAAACTCCCTGAAACAATCCCCAGGATGTCTCTGATAGTCCCCTCCCTAAGACATGATCTCTAACACCTCAAAAAGATAAAGGAAGCAACTGTACAGGTAAGTCAGCATCTCCAGGTTTCCTCGCAACATCACTGCGTCAAATCAACCTACATCAGGAAAAGCCTTCAGCACATGGCAAGCTCAAAAGAACCAAGGTAGCAGCTTCTTGTGTAAAGCTCTGATAGTAAATGCCAGTTTTAGCTGCAAGCATAAGTCGATGGAAGCATTTATGTATATATAGTGTAATTCTCAGGTCACTATTATCCTGCTGTTTGTGGTATTGAATGCATGTGTTATAATCTAATGGTGTATTGGAGAATTTCTTTAGCTGACCCTGGAACGGGGCTCCAGTGAACGTTTTGGTTGAATTTCCCCAGCTGTGGGCTAGCAGGCTTGACATTATCGGGGAATGGGGGAAAGAAGAGGGGCAGGCAGGTGTATTGAGACTCACTGCTGGGGGGAAGAGGGAAAGAAAGTAAACTGAGGGAAGTCACAGTAGGACAACTTTGGATTGCTTCTTGGAAGTGATCCCTGCAGGGTGGAGAGACTCCTAAAGATGGGTATTTAAGTCAGGGCCCCTGGCATAGCAGCATATTTAACTCCAACAAAAAGGATGAATGAACTGGTCAGTGTTAACAACTACAGTAGGCTGTAACAAGGCTGGGTAGGTCACAGGCCATGAGTACTGGTCCTGGTTTGAACCTTAACTGGCTCTCAATAACTTTAGGCTGTGTCCCCAGGGGATAAAAAGCAGCAAAATGCAAAAACAGAATATGCTTGTCAGGTTAGGGGCCATTGGGAAGGATATACCAGACAAGTTGAGATCATCTGATTCCCAACGGAGCTGGTTCCTGCTCCTGGGTAGAAAGCAAAACCTGATGTGTCTCTTCTTTTAGGCCTTTCATGTGAACTGATCCAGCCATCAGCTCATGTGTATCTTCAAATTGTGATTTTTTTTCACCCCCCCCACCCACTTTAATTTATTTTTCAGGGAGGCTGAGGGGAAGCTATTTAATGGGAAAAACCTAGAAGTTTCCATGGAAACAGGGTTGCTGGATGCTAGTCTTATCCTTTTGAAAGGATAAGTTCTTTTAATGACAATTGTACCCATCATATCTGGGAAAGTAATTGTTGAAGAGATGTTCTGCCCCCACAAGTTACTTACCACAACCTCAAGTTACGGGTGCAGGAATAGTTTGGATTCATGGGTCAGAGGAATGTCATCTATTAATTTATGTCCAATGAGGTGGGGGTGGGATGGAAAAAAAAAAAGACAGTGAAGTTAGTCCAATGAGCAATTTGCTCAGCCAAACAAATTGCAGAAAGATTATTGGCTTCAAGCTCTCAAGGGACACATCCCACAGCATCCAGCAGTCTGATGGACAATAAATAAGATCAATACATCATTTTATTCATTTCCATTCAGCTGGTACAGCCATTACATTCTTTGCTACAAGTCCCTTCTCCCTGGAAGGAGCCAGATTGTCCAGGTGAAGTGGGTAATGCATTAACAACCAGCAGACAATACTCCATGCCACACTAACTGCTGTCCTCCAGGGAGAGCCTGTCAAACAGGTACTCTCCCATCCCTTTCTCAGGAGCTCCCAGGCGCTTCAGGTTGGTGATGTAGTCCCCAAGTTGCTTGATGATCTTCACCTCCTCATCCAGATAGTGGGTCTCCAGGAAGTCACATAGCTGCAACAGAGGAATGACAACTGGGTGCATTTACACTATCCACAACAATTTCAGAATTCCCACTGCAAAACAGAGCCATACTAGCTGTAGACAGCCCTAAAAATTAAAAAAGCTAACCCCTGGTGAATTTGTGCCAGTGAGGACAGTAGCATTTTAGCTGATACATCTTGCAGATTGTTAAATGGAGCTGAGTTAGATTGTGATGGATTGCAATGATCCTAAATGAGAATTCAGTGGCCAATATCACTTCAGCACTCCACTAGATTATCATTCAAATTCCCATTTTACCTCATTGCTGACCAGTTGTAACATTGTAATCATTGTGATCACTTCAGATGCATACCAAATGTCCAGTCTCAGCAGGGTTACATCAGTGAATTTCCAATCCACAAAAGACCAACCAATGAAGTGTTGCCCTGAGGGTCTAGCAGTGATGAGAATGAGGAGGTGGTGAAGCTTACATGAGGGTCAGTCTGGGCAGTGGCAAGTTGGTGTAGATCCAGCAAACTCTGGTTCACATTCTTCTCCAGGTCCAGGGCAACCTGCATTGCCTGCAGAGTATTACCCCACTCATCCCTCTCTGGCTTCTGAGAATGGAAAGAAAGGACAGTCAAGCTTCAGAATCAGACTCCCTGCAGCATGGGAGCAGGCCATTTGGCCCATTGAGTCCACACCTACCTTCTAAAGGCCATCTCATAGCCCCACCCAAGCCTCTAACGCTGCATTTTCCCCATGGAAAGTCTACCTCACTTGCACATCTTTGGGCTGTGGGAGGAAACCTGTACAGACTGAAGAACATGTAAACTCTAGTCAGTTAGATGAGGCTAGAACCAAACCTGGTGTCCCTGGCATGGAGGCAACATTGCTAGCCACTGAGCAATGGGGCCATCCCTGAAGTCCAGATGTAGGGAAAAAAAACCAGTTACTTGAGAATTGCCTTCACCTTGCTCAATTTATCCTTCATCTGAAACAGGAAGTTCAGGAACAGGTCATTGTGGGGATAAGGAATAAATTTACACAAAAGTAATTGTTTGCACCAGTGTCCATCTGCTGGAGTTTAGATCAGGCCATGCCTAGCTTAATCCCAAGTGCTCCTGTGGTGCAGTGGTAGTGTCCCCATTTCTGATACACAAGGCCCAGGTTGAAGTCCCACCTGTGCTAGTTTTTTCATGCCTGTCGGAGCAGGATGGTCAGAAACATCACTATTTAATTCATTGAAGGGTGTGTTTACACCAAGGAAACAAAGTAACAAATGCTTAGGACCATTGATCCTCACAAGATCTAAGGTAGACAGGGTGGTGAAAGTGGCTTACATGATGCTTGTCCCCATTAGTTGGGGCACAGAAGAGGGCCAAGACTTATTACAAACTTTGCACCATTGGCCAGGCCAAAGATAGAAAACAGTGTAGTGACCAGAACCTCAATCACAAGGACAGGATGGCACTGCAGGTGAGGGTCATCAGGATGTTGCCAAAGGTGGAAAATCCATTGAGGGGTTTCCATTGATAGGCTGGAAATTTTCCTTGGAGCAGAGGTAGTTATCTGATGGAAGTATGAAATATTGGAGAGTCTGGACAGTAGATGGGGAGAATGTCTTCCCCATGGCAGACACTAAGACCAGAGGGCACAGGTTTGAGGAGTAAGCAGGTTAGAGGAAGCCTTTTCCCAAAGGAAGGTGGTAGAAATATGGACTGCATCACTTGAGAGGAGGGCAGTGGTGGAGACAGCTACTCCGGCAACATTTGGACAACTACTTAATGCCAGGGCAGAGTAGACTGTGGACCAAGTCAGGTAAATGAGATTAATGTAGTTTGATGTTTGCTGGGTCAGCATAGACATGGCAGGCCAAAGGGCTTGATTTGAAACTGGCTTCAAAACAAAAAAGGAGATCAAACAGGGAAGCCAAGACAGAAGAACTTTTCACTCCCTTTCAAGATGTGAAAATCCTGTTATTTGTGACTTGAAACCACACCATAAGAGCAGCCATTCCATTTTCTTCCAACTCCAACCTTCACATCCTGGAGGAGGACTCTGCCTCCACGCTGATTCTGGAATTTCAGCAGCTTCTCTGCATGTTCCTGCTTCTCCTGGGACTGATCTTTGAAGAACCGGGAGAAATGGGGGAGGGCAACATCATCCTGGTCAAAGTAGGACATCTGGAAGAGAGAACAGGTTAAAGCCCATTAAACACATCACTGGCTCCAAATCTAGTTCTGAGAACTAGCGTGTCTGTTTAGCCTTCTAAAGCAAACTGACAACTCCATAAGTTGTTAAATGCCTGGTATGTGACCATGGTTGAGAACTGGTGTCCAATTAGCCAGTAAATCCTTTAACTGGCAATAACTAGAGCAACCCAGTTTCTTCCTGGTGACATGCAAATTCGATGTTTTATTTTGGCTTCAAACTACTAGTGAATTGCTCAGGGTGTCTGGCACAGCATTGGAGGAGAGAAAAGCAGTAGTCATGTTTCCACTCACTAATCTACATCAGAATTGGATCATTTAGTGATTGAAAATAGTTTAAACAAGGACCAGGAGCTCGAGTGCAGGGTGTAGTTGAGTAGGGTAGCTGCAACACTACATTTTACCTTTGGTCTAAATGAATATGGAACACAGATGTTGGGCACTGCTGTAACTACTAACTAGGAGGGAGCAAGTTTTCTGCAACCTCAAGATCAATGGGATTGGATGTACTATATATTTTAGTTCTACACAATATTCTTCTCCATACTGGAGATACACAAGAGAAAGTGGCACAAGATTCTGCTAAGGAAAGCCTGCCGAGTGACAGCCTTTGGATTGTTACAGCAATAGTTTGTGACACTTGTTTATGCAGTACACTCACATCCAGAAGTTTGTGAGCAGAGCATTCTGTGAAGAGAACAAATTGAAAACCAACTGAGCAAAGGTCACATATTAGAGAGAAATAATGCAACACTAAGCTAGAAAACTTGATTTGACTTATTAGAATAAGCAAAATTCTAGTTTGTCCACCCATATTTCACTCATTTCTGAACTGTCATGTTCACAATTCAATGTGTTGAGTTTTATGAAAGGCTATTCTTCTGGTTTTGAAGCAGCAGCTAAGAGTTTTGTTGAAGAAATCTGATGGGAAGTTATTTTCATCTTAAAATACAGTCAAGCACAATTCATCTTTGTGGCTGAATTGGGTACTTACAAGTTGTGGTAGGTGCAGAATAGTGGGGATTTAGTTATTGGCGCATATGCTACCCAATTGAGTTGGGACTGGCTCACCAGTGAAAGCTGTTCCCACCTCCCAATGGAGGTTATAGGGACTTAATCCTCATTTCAGAAGAAAGTCTCCTCATGAGAAGCACAAGCCCAAAGTATGATGAATATTCTCCACGTGTCTGGAGAAGTGGAGCTATAACATGCAAGAAGCAGACACCATCCAGGACAGAGCAGCCCACTTCATTGGGACTGCATTCACCACCTCCTTTCAGTGTCCATTATCTACCAGGTACCCTGCAGCACTCACCAAGGTTACTTCAACACACCCTACCCCTTGGAAGGTTACAGTCACAGCACCACCTGGATAAAGGGGCTAGTTTGTTTCAATCCAGGATAGACAGCATGGGAACAACCTCCATTTCTTCACTGTCACTGTATCAATAACCTCAGCACATTCCAGCAGCCCCAGTGGGGCTGCAGCATTTCACACACCACAGCAGATCAACTTTCTGTAGGCTGTGAAAGAATGGGCCACACCCATCTCATGGAGTACAAAAAGCCAAGTAGGCCTCAATTGCAGTCTACTTAATCAGATAGCAGTCACAGCCTAACTTTGATGACATTTGTTCAGATTAACCAAATCTGATTTATCAGTCATGATGAAGCCCCCTTGCAATGTTTATTTATAAAAAAATAAGAAAAAAAAAAATCAGCATTTCTTTTAAGATCACCACACAAAAAGAAAATAAGTCAGGATACTTGAAAGTGGCAGAAAAAGGGTAACCAGACAGTGAGTGATTCCATTCCCACATGGTTGTCCCAATTCCATTGGAAAGTAGCCCTAACAAGTTGACAATCTAGGGGGAAAAAAAAAAAAGAAAATGGGGACAATTACTGCCAGTGACAACAGTAAGTGAACTAGCAACTAACTCCAAGGACACTTCACCCTCTAAATCACTAAAGGCCAACCGAGGCCTCACTTAGTGTATGGGAGTATCATACCCCATTATGTTAACATCACATTTATCCTCCGTTAATATTTAGGAAAGAACCACAAAAACTCCATCTACAAGATTATCAACTAATTAAAAACATGGATAACCATACACTTCAACACAATAGGTTAAATTTTAACCTCTTAGAGACAACACTCACCAAAGACTGATAGAGATAGGAAGCAGTGAGCTCCACATTAATCTGTTTGTTGACAGCAGCTTCACAATCCTGGTGATAGTTTTGACAAATCTGCGAGGCCATCTTGGGAAAAATAGTTTGTTGTAACTGTTTTCTTTAATACCAAAATGAAAAATTTAGGAACAGCACAAACTACACCATAAAACATCAAAGCTCTGGGACATTGTTTATACTCTAGGAGCAGACCCTCATTTTATTAAGCAGGAAATGACATCATCAGTGATGGCCAATCACTCTTGTTAATCAATTGATCAGCTGCCATGTCCAATCAGTGCAGGATGGGAATTGGATCCAGAAGCCGATCAGAATTGACAACTGGTCAATAATGGAATTGCTGAATGACCATTGACCTCCCGCACAAATGCAAATTCTGGAAGTATATCTACCTGAAAATGAGAATAAAATACACTCTAAAACTTCACTTTTGTATCTGAGAGTATGTGTTAAGACACGCTCATCACAGATTTGCAGAATTCTGTCAGTCTGTTACTCTGAGGGAATAGCCTTTGTACCTTTTGAATTACAGTGTTGGAGCACATTGAAAAATGGCTAGATTTTGTTGACAGTAAACATTTTCCTATTGCTATTCAGCAACGGAATTCATGTGCTTTTGGATCATTTAATACAGGCAACTGATGTACTTTGTGGATCCATTCTGAATCTCCTGTGATCTTGACCTTGGGTCTCTGGAAACTCAGTTTGAAAAGCAAAATGCTAAATGAGCTGAGTCCCTCAGTGACATAGAAGGTCTCAGGCCTCCATATCTAAATTGCTGCTGGAAACACATCGTACGTTTAACGTTCCTATCTCCATGTTCAGTTTTTAATTGTTTGAAGTAGAACTAGCGCTTAACTCCAGTATGTTTCCAAGTGGAGAGTTTCTGTTACTGTTTACATTGCATTCTGTAGAACGTACGGCTCAGCAACTGTGTTCAATGGAGCAGCCTCCCATGGACTGATGGCCTGTGAGGCTTTGGGAATTGAAGATCCCCACTCAATGTTACGGTATGATCACAGCCTTGATGTATAGATTGGTGGAAGTAAGTTACTTTTACTCAATAAAAACCAAAAGAACTGCGGATGCTGTAAATCAGGAACAAAAACAAAG